CATTCTGCCGTAAAAAGCAACCAGTAGGCTGCGTGTTGTATACAGCAACGCGAGGAAAATTGGACCTGTTGATGGTGTAACCTTTTTCTGTAAGCAGGTATCCTCATGCGGTGCCTGTTGCCATTGAAGTACAAATGAATTTATGTTTGTTATAGTAGTTTTTTTTCGTTCCCATTGCGCCGCCAGTTGCTGGTAGCTCTGTGCAGTGTTAACCAGCTCTAGCGAGTTCTGCGTGTGTAGATCATCCTTAGGTGCGTCCTTCTCAGGTTTATTCATCTTCGACCAATCGCATTTGGCAAGACTACGCTACGGAGCAATACTAATTTCGAGGGGAAGCAACACTTGGCGCAGTCCTTAACTGAATTTGTCCATATATACTCGTGTTAAAACGAGCGCCATAGGCTGTACCACAATCGGCTCATACCGCTATAAGTTTTCATATACATGGTGTACAAATGCGACATTTAAACCCTAGTGTATATATGGTTCCTGTTTTGACCTTTTTTTTGTATCTATTAACACAGTTATGAGCGTGCTATGGGTAAGTAATGAGTAAGTAACTAACTGGCTTGAAATTGTTTCTGTGCACTTTGATGCTTCAAAACAGGTGAATCCATAGAAATTTCTACTTAAATCGTTAGTTGCTATTGTGACTATACGACTATATATATATATATATGGCAATAAATTTCTGTTACTGCTCGTTACCTGGAAAAAGGAACAAGAAGAGATTCAGTGAGCGAACTTTTGCTTTGCAGAAGCTACATCGCCGTAAAAATTGCCGAGGACTCAACCATTTGTTAAAGTAACTTGTAATAGCTGAGACACGCAACTTCAATAACGGGCCATTACGCGTTAGGAAATGCCTAACGTTCGTTGAAAACTAAATGATTTTGACCAATTTAAACAGAATGAACACTGCGATCTTCGATCCTCATCTAATGCTTCGGCTGGTAATAATTGTACGATCTAGCACTCGCTGCTCCATTGAATTGAGAAATCGTGAATGTTTTTACCGTTTTGTTCTACATGAAAAACTTCTGCATTCAGATGTGTCTCTGACTCATTCCGATTCAATCGTCCTTTTTGAAATCGCAAAAGAGAGAAACTCTGTTATAGGTAAAACAGATTGTTAATACAGTTAACAATATGTTTTACCATTTTTCTTCAAATAATAAACGTAATAATTATTTGTTAAAAATGCGGTCATGAACACAAACAGCATACGTATCATAAAAGTATAAAGGTAAACACAGCACTGATAGAACTTATACGGAACATCTAAAGGTGAACCACGTTAGACTAAGCCGTATTAAATTTTTTTCATGAATCAGGTTTGAATATATGCGTTTCCTTCCTACAATACTTACATAGGGTTTGAATTGCCCTAATTACTTTCGTATTGTGCGTTCTCTTTCAGGATCAGATTAACTATGTTTTCGCTGAAGTTGTCCGTTCTGGAATTACGACTTACCCTAGCAGTGGCTCGGAGCCTCGGACGCCCTACAATAACCAGTTGATTGTCACGCAGGCCCGTGATAACCGGATTTTGCAAGACACGCAGCAAGGCCAGCGTGCTATCCCATCGGGAGGTTCGCGCCGTTAGGTGGGTGCAATTAACTGAAATTTCGAACAAGCTCACTTTTGAAGCATGTCCATCGTGAAGTTGTCTGTGCGTTCTAGTCCGAACCTACAGAACCATCGATAATGCCAGCGAAAGTGGACCTTGCTACCGTGCCTGACTATCGCCAATATAAAGGAATACACATTTTTCTGAGACAGTTTATGACAACATAAGCCGGAATAAGTGAACCGGTCGAAAAATATTCCTATTTAAGCTTAGCACCTTGAACGGCACGAGCTGAAATTAACCCCGATCCATCTATTAGTTGAGTGTATTCCAGTATGATAATAGACAGAGTATCAGAGCTCTAGTAATCTATTGTCCGTAGTGTTTTGTGGTGCTCCGTGCTAATATCACCCTGCTTATCCTTACTATGATATTGCTATATAGAAGTACTGCAAAACCCTTGAGGGTACTGCTCGGATGCATACTCCTCCTGATTCTACGTGCCGATAATCCTAAGCGCAACTGTCCGCTGCAAACAAAACTATATATAGTTTTTCGGTGAGATCTTGTTTTTCCTTTTCTTCAATGAATTATACTACTCGTACCTTAATTGGAACCTATTGGACCTATTACCGCAAGACGAACGGCAGAGCATTTGTTAGAACAACTGCATGAATAACACAATAAATCCTCCAGGCACAATCACCTTCGAGACCTCTTCTTAGATAAATTATGGAATTAAAATGGAAATTAAACCTGATATCGTCTCACGGTTGGGGCTCGATCGAAGCGTAGAACCCAGAAAATGTTGCTAGATGGGCTTTTGTCGTCACAGAGCGATAGGACACTCGCATCGGAGCTAAATGATAAAATTAATAAAACGTTTGCCTATAGATATGTATATGAGAATGTATACAGCATGGTTAAAATATAAGCGTTCGAATTCAAACAGACATTCGTTATTATTGACACCAGAAAAAAAAGCCAGCCGTTTCTGCTGTCAATAATTTCAATAGCAGTAACTTGTGCCGAATTTCAGCAAAGATCAACAGGATTACCTAGTATCATGGCGCAGGACAATCCCTTACTGACATGGAAAGCTTCTATTTTTGTACGAAGTCGACAGTCTATGTTGTTGTCGGCTCTCATGCAGCCTCTAAAAAAAGGACCGATGACAGTTCCAAGGCTGAGGCGAGCCGAAAAGTACTTGACTAAGTTTATATTCAAAGGGTATAGAAAGCATTTTTCTTTATAATACATCTAAGTCTATTGTATATAAATCAACGGCTGTTTTGAAGCGCCTAACAATGAATATTCTATCGAACGTAGGCTTTTAGACTTTTTTAGAACCCTTTGCGTTTTGAACCTTGGCATTTTCAGGATCTTTGGCCTCCCAGTGGTTCAATATAATTTCGCTAAATCTGGTGAGTAGTATGACGGTTGAACGGGTTTATGCCTACTAATATCGTTTGAGGCACGGTTACTATTATTTGCGGAATATTTTTCAAATTAGTTTAGGTTTTTAGTTAGAGCTGTAATCGTACCGGAAACTGAGCAAATATAACCGTCAAGAGTAATACTCATGGCGCATAGAAGAATATGCTTTTGAACTATATGGTCTTGTTCAAATGCAGTCTTAGAACAAAAACTCATAGCGAAAAACCGTATTTAAACTCCCCACCCTATATTTAATAATTTATACATCATAAGCGTAGCTGCGATTTGATTCATCCCTTTATAGGAGAAAGCGTGCAATAAACTAGACACACGGGTTCTTCCTATTATATCATAGTAATATAATTTGGCAGAATCTCAAAAGTTTTTGATACGTTTCAATATATTCAACTAAAATAACGTACTTGTTAAGATCCGCCCAACTTCAATATGGATCCCCAACGCACTTAAAATCATGTCACTTATCTTGCATAAAAATAAGCCTAGTGAAGTGTTTTATCGATCATTCGAGAAAAATATAAACTAGTCATGTAAACCAGACATACACAACAAAGAGAAGTTAAAATTATACCTTTTTAACTAAACTAATAGAAACATACTTTCAACTCTCGATACCGCTACACATAGATAAGGTATTGAAATCTGCTCTCGTTGAAGGTTTTTCAACCACTAATCTATTTAAAAAAAACTCATCAACGACGATACTTCCATATAAATTAGCTGCCACACATTCGGCTATCTAGATTATCGATCCCGCGTCCTTGGCGTCGAAACGTTATTTTTAGTCTGCTGCCGAGCAGTCTCTAGATCACTCATTCTTAATGCGTGTTGTCGCGCGATTTTCCTCGGGAGCACAGCCGATTTCGGTACGGTCGTTTAGGCAGCGGTATAGATGCCCGCCAGTTCCTCAAATGATTGTTGAATCGTCAGACGTTGAAACCACTCGCCTAAACACTCGCCGTTGACGGTAACCCTCTACGATTTTGGGATTAAGCTCCCACGAATAGAGACGAAACAGCTTTTCGCGTAGCGGTTGCAGTAGCAGCTATAACAACTTTCGATGTAGATAACGAAACAGATCGCCCGTTTACTACAGATCCGTTTTCATTCGATATCTATCGCTCAAACAGAAAAAAGGTCCGCGAAAATCGCTTTAAATTGTCCTATCGCTCCATCTTGTTACC